AGTACAGAGACAGGACACCTTGCCAGTACAGAAGGCTCCAGTGCTGGGCTCAGGGGATGTGTCCAGCCAACCTCACAGGTCCCTGATGTCTACAGGGACTGAGAAAACACCAGCTTTGGCAACAGCAGCCCAAACCGGCAGTGTGGGATGAGCTCTCCACATACCTGAGCTGGCCCTGGGGCCCTGGCTCCTCAGGCAGCACAGGTGTGCTGGGCCGAACAGAGGCCTGGCCCTCAGTCAGGTTCTGTGGGTGCCCCTAAGGTACTGCTCACAAAGGAGCATCTGCTCCCAGGAGCGTCCAGCCTCAATGAGCCCCGCGACGGTGACCCACAACTCAGGCTGTCCGTCCGTCCTTCACCACCAGCTCCAGCTCAGCAACACCACCCGGGAAGTGGGGGTGGGGTTGCTGACAGCGCACCCACGCTGCTGCTCTGGTGAGAGGGAGGGAGGGAAAGCCCAGCACAGGCCTCCCAGGAAGCTGGTGCCAAGCTTTCCTGCCAACCAAACCAAAGCCGTGGTCAGCCTGGCGCACAAAACATCTCACCCGGGAACACAAACTCAGTGCTGGAGTCCAACTGATTTCACATTATGGCTCTCCCAACAAAATTAAGCACTTAGGAGATGAAAGAGAAGGAGTGACCACCAGCCAAATAGGGTCAAGCTTCCTCTGAATGTCCCGTCCTGGTGAGTGAGTACCATCCACCTCCTCTGTGCTCAGATTCTGGTGTGTGTCCTCTTGTCCCATCTTCTCCCAATGTCAGCAGGGTCAGGACAGGAAGCAGGCTGGGCCAGCAGCCGGGTCACCAGGAAGAGGCCATCAGTGCAGAGCACTCAGGCTCCTGAGTCCTCCAAACCCCAGCCGAAGTCCCATGGCCCTGGGGTATGCACCTGGCCTACCTACAGAGGCCAAAAGGGTCCCTCCTGCACAGTGAGGCAGACGAGCTCAGCGCTGGCATGGTGGGGGAAAGAGGAGGCTACCCATAGTAGGAGGGGCCTGAGAGCAGCTGGACAGTGAGAGGAGTGAGAGGACTGGCCTGCTGGGGACAGACTGCACACCCACAGTGAGCCCTCTGTGGGCATCACCTGCTCCAGTCCAGGCAGATGGACAGGACGGGAGACATCTGGCTGGGGTGGGCAGGTCAGGAGCACACCACTCCTGTCCTTGGTGCCCCGCGGCAGCCCTGCCTCCTCAGGATAGCACAGAGCAGTCACAGAATTCACTTTGTGACTGAGATGACTCAGGGACCCATATCCCTGGCTGGCAGGGCTCAGGCAGGGCTGGGACCAGCAGCAGCCCCTCCCTGAGTAAGGGCTCTGGGCTGAGGGTGTACACAGACCCCACACTGGGTCCGGGCCTCAGTACTATCTCAGGAAACTTGAGCTCCAAGCCTGCCACAGCAGCTCGCAGTGGCCTCCTATGGGGAGGCAGTGGTACCAAGAGCCTGAGACACAGTGTCTCCTGTAAGCAGGAGGAAGCTGCCAGGGAAGGGGCCTGGTACCGATGAGGGAGAGAAAAACCCAGGCACCTCCCCCTTGTGAGAGACACATCAGGAGAAGGTGGGCCAGGAAGGGCCAGTGGGCTGCTGCCAGGGATTCTGGACCACAGCCCAGTATCTGGGCCGGCTGGGTTTTTTCCAATTTGGGGACTCAAAGGTGGGAGCAAGTGAGAGCGGGAGCCCAGAACCACCCGAGACTGTCAACCCAACGACCCGGGTAGCCAAGAAGGGCAAGGAAGTCACAAGAACTCAAATACCACAAGGAGGAGGGGATGAGGCTGCACTGACCCAACAGCAGGGCAAGGATGCCGAGCACCTCTGCCCTGTGAAGTGGGCCCTGTGGAAGACCAGGATGACGCCCAGGTGGGACTCAGACCTGCTCCCACACTGGCCCAGCACACTGTGGCAGGCAGCCACCACTCCAAGAGCCACAGGGAGCCCCAAGCTCCCCCACATACCATCTGACAAGATAGGGTTCTGTGGGAGACTAGCCTAGGACCAGGGTGGGTGTGAGAAGGAGAGCAGAGCCTGAGTACTTTTCACTTCCTTCCATCTTCCTGGGATGGCTTCTGGTGCCACGAGTAAGGGTTCATTCCAGAGAGCAGTGACAGGAGATGACACTTTAAAATGGCTTCTTCCCCAATAAAGACACAGCTCAAGCTTCAGCTCTGGACACCGGGAGAGCTCAGGTGGTGAAACACCTAGCTATCTTTGATGGGAAAGAAATGAACTTGCTCTCTATGAGCTCTTTCAACACCAACTTATCAAAGTAAGTCAGATGTCCTCTAAACCAGGTTTCCCAGGTCCACAATTAAGGTGCTTCTCCTACTTGGCAAGGAACCCTGAAAACAAGTGTACAAGTGACATGCCTCTCAGCATTCTGGGGAGGTCAGCAGGTACCCCAGAAGTTCCCGGTGGGCCCAGGGCAGGGAAGGCAAATAAAGCCCTGAACCTCGGTAGACCGAAGGGATCACAGCCTATCAAGATGTCGCTGGGCATTAGGCAGAGGGACGGGGCCCAGATAAATTCTGAAAAGCCCCTTGGCTGAGGGAAACACCCCTGTCGACCCGCCTTCCACTATGCCAACCACACTGTCCAGGAGTCCTCCAGTACCTGGAATTTGGGGCCAAGTGCAAGATGACCATGTCCACACTGTTGGTGAGGCCAGCTCCCTCCCGGGGTGCAAAGCCAGCACCCTAGAGAAGAAATGCTCACCTGTCACCCACCCCAAGTGGGCAGCCCCTTTGCTAGGTGGTCCAGCTGCCTGATCCCAAGCCCTACCCAGAAGCACCACTCCCCTGACTCTGACCCCACCCACAGCCCTGATCTCTCTGCAGCCCTGCATTCTGCCCTCTCTCATTCCAAACTCCCACCAGTTTCCCAGGCCCTGGCCCACACCCAGGACACCCCACTGCCTGCCCCTCCCAGGAGCCCTCTGTGCAAAGCCTGTGCCCCGCCCTCACACAAGGCAGGGGCCCTCCTCCTGTGATCCTACAGTGCTCCCTGATTCCTCATTGGTGACCTTGGGGATTGTTCCACGTTCCCTCAATCCTCATGGTTTGGGATGAGGAGACTCCTAGTATAGCCCCGACACACAGGTTCTCTGCAAAGGGGGATCTTATAAGTTGGTCTAGACCCCTTCCCATGGAAACCCCGAGACCAACCCAGGAAAAGGAGACGGCCCCAAAGAACACACACCAGCAGGGGCAAACACTAGCTTGGGGTAGGCACCGGTCGTCCTTTTTATTGGGGGAGCTGTAGGGAAGCACTAGGAACATCCCCATAAGGACTAGTATCAGACAGACCAGAAGCCACCCCTAGGCTTCCCACTCCCCTCTAGAGTCAGGGAGCAACAGACCCCTGGATGGCAGCCAGGCTCCACCCTGTGCCCGCCGCGGGCAGATCTAGAGACAGAACCACTCGTCTTTCCTTAAAGGGAGTGGGAATTCACAAGCTGGGAGTCACATGCGCCTGCAATGCTTCAGCCGGATCAGCAGGCTCCGGCTGCCGAGGTCTAACTCAGATCCAGCCTGCTGCAGCACCCAGGCTTCATCCTCCACCCTGCAGAGGCATTCCTCGGTGGCAGCACCTGAGGGTGCTCAGCACACCAGGCCAGGTCTGCAGGCAAGAGCAGGAGGGGGTTTGAAAGGCTCAAGCTGTTCACCAGGATCAAGAATTATCTCTGCCTTTCCAGATCCTCTCACAGCAGGGACACCTGGCACACTCCAGACCCCAGACCACAGCTCCTATCCTACCCGTCACCTACCCTTCACCATCAAGGCCACTCAGAACTCACAATACTTGAGGGAGGGGAGCTGTTCAGTCCCTCCCGAAGGACCCAACAGGACGCCACTGACCCCTGCCATGAAAAACCACATTTCCATGGCAGAACCGAGGGGCGGTGGGGGAGATGAGGCCTCTGGAGCTCTTTGTCTTGGGAGAAAGGCTGTCCGCAGGTCAACACCCACCAAATTAGCCAGGCTTGCTCACACACGCAGGCCACCCTGCAGGGGCCAGAGGACACAGCAGCGAATTCCATTTCCCAGCTAAGCACACAGGCATCCTGCAGTGTGTCCGGCAGTCCTGAAAGCCATTTTGCCTGGCTGGCCCCAGCCCTAGAAGGCCAGATAACTTTACAGGCCAGGGAGTAAACTTACACCTCCCATGGCCCCCTCCCAAGCTGCCGAGACCTGACAGCTGTCCCCTCCCCCCCAAGAAGGAGGGAGGCGGGTAAACACTCCCTGTGACAGGCATGGCCTCTGCCTCCAAGCCTGGCCCAGGACGGCTAGGGTTGCCGTTTATGTAATCTTCCAGGGCCAGGCTGACACCGGCATGAGGGCAGGGTTATGAAAAATGTATGCCCAGAGCCTTTGCAAAAAAAAAAAAAAAAAAAAAAAAAAAAAAACCCTGGTTCTGCAGTGACTTGGTTCTAAGGTCTGTCAATACACTATTTGGTGAGCACCAGAAGGCTGCTGGATGTGCTAACAGGCCGTGTCCAACCGGCCTAGGACCCCATAAGTCACCACCTCTGGGTCACAGACCACTGGGCCAGAAAAAGCCCCTGCAGGCATCCCTGCCCGGCAGCCACACCTAGCAGGCCATAGGAAGGCACTCATTTAAGGACACCTCAGAGCTCCTAAGTCAGTTTGTGCCAGCGGACACCAGGCCTTGAAGCCCCACACTGTTTCCTCAAAGACAAGCAGGTGCAGACCGCCCAGGTCACCAAAGTGGGTCATGGGGACTCGAGAGAGAGCACAACGACAGACACACCCTCCACATGTTCCTCTCCAGTGTCCCCACTGTGCACACACACCCAGGCACACCACACAGGGGGCCTGACCGCCAGGCCCTGACTCACAAACCCCAAGCAGCACACACAGATCCGGCACCACACGCCGGCCACCCACTCTGGGGGTGGCACCCAGGGCGCCCCGTTGCCCCCAGCACTGTCTGAGGCGCAAGCAGGCCAAGGACGCACAGGACAGCCCCCGCACGAGCTCTCACCTGCAGTTCGCACCAGGCCACCTCCACCCAGGTCTCGGTGTCCAGCCCCTTGTAGACCGTCTTGAAGGAGCCACGGCCCAGCTCGATGTCAAACTTGAGGAAGCGGCCGTCCAAGGAGGTGGCCACGGCCTTGAGGTCGTCCTCATCGTCCTCATCCTCCTCGGGCTCGTCACGGCGAGCGCGCCCGGGCTCAGGCTCAGGCTTGGCCTCGGCCGCCCCCGCATCCTCCTTCCCCGCGGCCGCGGCTGCCTCCTCCTGGAGACCGCCGTCGGGGGC